AAGATAATAAATATCACGACAACCTGTTCTAAACGGGACAATATTGGTTGATTTTTTTCTTGACAGATCGGTAAAACAATGCAAGTTTTACAATACTTTGATTTTATTTTCATACGCTAACCTATTTATACGTATAAAAGGCGTGATTAATGATCGTGTTAATCTCCGGGAGTAAAAAATGAAATAATCGAGGTGAGAGAGAGTAAAGCCGATGTGGCACAATGTATAGGTGCCGGTCGATAGTCACTGCCAAAAAACCGAAAGTCGGAAAAGAGTTGCGGAGCGACGAGGCCCGAAAATAGAATCAACGTGTGTTGCCGTTCTTGCCTTTTCCCCAAAAAATAGAGCTTTTTCCGAAAACTCGATTCGTCAAGGCCACCAAAGTGCTTCGTGTCGCTCAACCCCCGAGGAGCCCGCAATTGACGTCCGCGTGTGTAATGTATATACTAACGCTAGTTGCGCAAATCGCAGGTTTTGAAAAAATTTAAACATCGGGGTTTTACCAGTTGCGCGAAATTTCGAAAAACAAATTATCATTGTAATTGTAAACAAAAAAAAAAAAAATGTTTTTTTTTTCAGCTTTCACGATTTCTTTTTCGGGATAGCTGTTAATTTTTCCTTTCCGTAAACAGAGTCGTAAAACTCGATGCCGAATTATCATATAAATTGCGCTTTTGATTGGCGAGCGCGCGCCTCTATCGCTAATTTGAATTCGCGTGAAATCTAAACCCACTTTCCGATGGGCTCCTTACTATACGGACACACACGCACAAACTATCGCTGAATTAAAAGCCATTAAAAAGTTAATCTCTCAAAGTTGACGCTCGAAAATTATGGCGTTGCCACGAACCATTGGCACAGTGGTCTTTTTTATCCGATTTTCCGAATAAAATTTTTCGGGACACATTAAATACACATAATCATAAATAAGCCGTCGAATTAATTCTCTCAAATTGAATGTCCACGGTGAGTCCCACAAAATTCACTCGCACGAAGATTGCGAGAACGAGATGATGTCGCACTGCGTATATGTATATGTTTGGCGCGAGTGTGCAATTTGTGCATTTCCGCGTTGAAAAGTTTTGACGAAGATTAAGACGTTTGCGAATAGCTGTTCTCGCTAATGTACTCCAACATGTGTGTGTATTTACGCTTCGATGTCTATCTGCGCAGCGGCTGGGATGCATAATGCGCCACTTGCGCTTATTTTTAAGCATTGACGCAATCCCGTGGATTGAGACACGATGGAAGCAAGTAAATCGCCGAATTTTTCACACGGCACTAAAGCATAATATATATGCGCGTAATTAACAAATTACCTGTACGTGTCGTCTCAGTTATCCACGCACTTATCGGCCCAGTAGCGTATTATCTCTGAAAAAATCAAAATTTTTGATTTGAAAAAAAAAAAAAAAATAAAATAAACGCGATAACCGTAAAAATGAAGTCACGCTCGGTTTGAAAAGTTGGAAATTCAAGGTTCCCCGTTTTTACGTAACAAGTCCACCGAGGCCCAAGGAGCATACGGTGGACCGATAAAGTTGTCGAAATGGCTACGTAATTTCCCTTTACAACTCGAGCAGCTGGACCGCGCGGCTGAATGAAAGCTCCATAAACATTTAACAGCGGGGCAGCCGTTGTTGGCTCTTGGAGAAAAAATCGAGCAAGGGAAGGAGATAAGGCTGGAATCGTCCGACTTCTCCGACCAGTGCCTTTTCTTTGGCTGGCAAACGGAGGACTTGCACTCTTTTACTGAAAAAGGCCATTTCGATTTAAGACCTTTTTTTTAAGGATTTTTAATTTGTTCAACTTAAGGTAGTACTGTCGGTATTCAAATTACTGTTCATATTTAGATAAGACTTATCAAACTAATTAATTTTCACATTAAAAATAACTTTGCTGCAATTTTTTAAATCTAAGGTGTACATGAGGAAAGAGCTTGTTAAATTTTAAACTATTTTCATCTGTGTTTCCATGTTTGCGAGTATTTCTGAATGATTATTTCTCTGAATTTCTGTCTTTTTTCGTATACTTCACCTCCTCTTTAAGTATGTTTTTTTTTTGTTTCCTAGTCTTTGCAAAACTGCTTTAGTATACATACCTCATAATTTTTTTTTTTTTTTTTTTTTACGTTTTAATCCGATCGCGATGACATCAGTATCGGCAATACGGAGATTTGAAAACATTATTATTGCAATCTTCGTGTTTTCCAAGTAAGATTTGACTGCCCGAATCGAGGTGAGGTTTTGCTTACCGTATCTTTTATTGNACCTCATAATTTTTTTTTTTTTTTTTTTTTTTTTTCAAATTATTTATTCTATAATCTTTCAAATATCTTTTTTTCTCCATGTCTCTATGTACGGTTACCTATCCTCTGCCTGTACATCTATCTCTTAAAACCAATTTTTTGTGTCCCTATCTGTTTCTCTATTTTAATTCATGCTATTGTTTCTTCTGTATCTACAAACGCCTTTACAACAAAAACGTAGAGATCACCATCTTTATCCCATTCCTTTAGTCACCCCCTTTTGCATTATTTTGTTCTTCTATGTTTAAATATATATTTTTTTTTTCGGTCTAAATATATGGAATTCCTTCCTCTACATCTATCTTTATTATCTCATTGCCTCTAAATCTCTACTTCCGTATCTTTGCCTTTACATAACTGTTCCAATACTACATACTGACCATTGCGTTGCGTTTAGACTATCTTTTTTGGTTATCGTGTCTTAACCTTAGATCTTATAGAGTCGATGTGTCTCTAAGTATTTCTCGGTTATTGTCTAATCTGTGCTTTTAAAGTAATATTTTTCTGCCTCCGTGTCTGTATTTTTTGTTTTTATTTCTTCTCCTTTTGCATTTGCGATTCGCTATATTTGTCCTTGGTCTTTAATTCTTCATCGATCAATTTTCTTTCTTTGACAAAATTAGATCTTACATCGTCAAAATCAGTATGTATGTATTTCGTTACCACACGATTTTTTTGCAATGTCGTTTTCATTTTTCTGTCACTATGCACCCATTATTACCCATACTTCTTTTACTAAGTCTTTTTAACTTTTTTATGTCTATGTCGTTTTTAACAAGTCCCAATTCGTATATTTTTGTGACTTTTCATGTGTTTCTTACAGATAAATCGTTCCTTTAAAATTTTTTTAAGCCCCTGAGCCTTTTTTATTGATAAGCATTTATAGGATTTTTTTTATTTTTTTTTTATTAAGCCTTCTCTGACTTATTACAAAATCAATGTAGAAAAGCATTTATAGGAGGTACCACCAAGGTAGGTATAGTCACACTCTATTAAAAAAATATCCACTAGAAATATTTTATTCCATGCTTGGAAAATTCAAAAGCAACGTAACTATACCTACCTCCAGTACCATCGGGACTCAAGGTAACACCTTTTATACGAGAAACTGCCCTACTTTTTTCCGTCGATTTTCTTTACCTGCGATCGTCGATGTATGTATTTAGAGTAGTTTTGTAAAAATAGTAATAATTTGCAGCTAGAGAAGTTTTTTGAAAAATTTTAATACGCAAAATTATATTCTGTATCCTAACTGACTTTTATTGAGTGAAGAAAAATAAGAGTATACATATATAATCGCAAGTAACGTACAATACGCGAAAGAAAAAAAAAAGAAAAAAAGAAAATTTTAACTCGTAACGAAACTGCGCTGGTCTCGTTTTAAATGCCGATTTCAATGGTATGACTCATAATACCGTGACTGATACAAGCGGGTGATTAAATTTAATGGATACTTAAGTATAACTTTTATTTCCATTCCTTTTTTTTCTTTTTTTTTTTGCAAACACAAGGTTGCGCCGTGTATTCTCTTTTTTCCCTCCCGATCCCACTTTCTTCGAGGCAGCAACACACACACGTATGTTTGCCAGACGAAACGTGCACATATGCACACTTGCGTTGAGCAACATGTTAATAGCGAGCAGATTTAAAACGTATAGATCTCACGAACTCTGTAGCTTTTTTTTTTTCCTCCTCACCACCGTATCGTCGAGCGCACACCGGCGGTAATGACGCTTGCGTGAATTTTTTTCGCAATCATCAGGAAGCAATACCAAGCCCAATCATGCCCAAGCACTACAAAAAAAAAAGAGAAAAAAAAAAAACGCGAAAAAAAGGGATTTCTTGGCTCGTGATTTCCATACACGCGAGCACACCTCGTCCGCGAGAGGCCCGAAACACGTTTGAATTCAATCAAGCCCACCGTAAAGAGCGATGAAAAGCCTGCATTCGCGAACTTCGCGCCCGCGAGTAAGTACACACACACACACACACGCGGCATTCCAATCGCGGCCAGTCAAGCATCCGGCTCCGTACCGTTTTGTACAACACTGCAGGCGTATATATACGTGTTCCCCGCGTGGGTGACACACACGTGCGCACACGCGCGCCCCAAGGTCTCATATCGGGCTCTCTCGAGAGGGAATGAGCTGCAATCGAGATGGATGCATACATATATATATATATATAACGCAAGCTGGTGTTATTGTGTGCGCGTGGGCGAGCGCGAGAGGGAAAGAGAACTGCAGCCAATATGGCTTCTGCTCGTTGCGTAACGATGATACTTGCACCTATACCTACTGCAGTTTTATTTTGCTTTGCTCTTGCGTATACTCTATAAATCTTTTATACGAAAAATCAAGGGCGATGTAGTTTATGTGGCTGGTGGCGGGTTTCGGTGCCCATTGCAGAGAGCTTGCGCGCATCCTTCTCCTTAGGGATGATGGTTGTAACGGTTTTTTTTTTTTAATTTTTCTTTTTGTTTGTTTTTCATTGATACTACCGGGAGAGAGAGAGAGATCTTTGGCATTGGATCCACCGGTGGCCGAATGATATTCGCTAAAGAAACTCATGAAATTTTTATTTTTCATTTTTTAGATGTAGGTGGAGTAAAGTAATTGGCCGTAACATCATTATTTCCAACTGTGACAGTGTAAGGGCACGTCGGTAAAATTACGTATGGCACCGTATTCATTTGAAATATAAATGTCCGTTTCAAAGCGACGGCTGCCTACATAAAACACGCAGATTGATTACACTCTGTCCGTCGTATGTCGCGCTTCTCAACTGTCCGACTCGCACACTACCAACAGTTGCACAATGTTGGTGTAACAAGCGTTGGAGGAAGTGTACGCTTGGAAAATCAATGTAGGATGTTTCTATATGATATATCGTCCTCCAAAGGATATGAAGAGGGGATGCTTTGTGGACACATACATACAAGCTGGCAAAGACATTGCATTTGTTGGAAGATTTGTCGCCAAATTGGAAGATCCGTCGGTTTCGTTTTGAGATTTGATACACGATTTTCTTACAAAACTCTGTTTTATTCCTCTCTGTTGTCATTTTTTACAGTATCTTTATTGTTGTGCGGAAAAATTTAATTGGCTTAAGAAATAGAACAAATTTCCTTTGGTAATTTTATCTTTCCAGCAAACGTAAAAAATGTATAATCTACTTTTTCGTTCATTATAACGTCATTATGCTAGAGATCTGAAACGTCGTTTACATTGTTAATAGTAAAAATTTATTCACTCAATAGAGATATCGCTATTATTCGCAATGCGCACGATATCAATTCACGCTTGATCCTCACTTGTCATAAAATTACTCATTCAGTAAAAGCAAAAGCTTAACTGGCGCGTGGGCTTTCGACCAACGCAGAGGTGATATTTACGCTGTCGCTAGTCGTAGCGAGAACACTAGATTCAAAGCAGTCTTGACACTTTATTTTTTTCAGCATCATCTCGCTTTTACGTTATGCACACGTTGCATCGAGCGACAAGCGACAGCATATGAAAAAGCACCGTAAGGCCGCAAAATTAAACCTCTGCTTAAATGGATCACGCAGCCTCGGCCTCTAATTTAAGAGCTACGTTCCGCCAGAAGTCACCATTAGCCTCCTGTTAACGTCCTTGAAATACCAACAACCAAGTTTCTCGGTTTATAAAACCCGTGTACGTGTGAGTATCATCTCAAGTGTCACTGGATCTTTGTTGAAGACAAGAGTCTCAATAAAGATTGAGCTTCGTGGTGAGGACAACTCGAACGCACTGGTCGAACGAGGTGCAAACCGCTAAGCCGATCTTGTCCGGACTCCAGTCCAGCGAGCTGATCGGCTGGCTCGAAATAGTGTTGTGCTGAAGTAGCTTTAGCTTACCAGCTACGCCCTCGTCTATACCATCCGAGTTCGTGATTCGCCGCTTTTCAGGATAGTTGCTGCAAAGGCAAACGAATGGAGTTTATTGATCAAACAGAAACGCGTGTGACAGTAATTGTGGGTACTCACTATTTCCACAGGCAAAGGGAGCCGTTGCCACCACCCGTCATGAAAATCTCTCTGTTCTGCGGAAGGTGGCGAACCAGCCAGACCGTCGATGCCGAGTGGGCCTGAAAGAACATTCATTCATTCATTCATTCATCATGAGCAAAAGCAAACACCAATAAAATAAAAAAATCAATTACCTTTTCTACCAAATAGGCAAAACCCTTTTTCGAATGCTGCGTCCGCAGATCGAACAAAAAGATCTTAGACTCAAGAGTCGTGGCGACGAGCTTGTTCATCGGTATGTCCCTGCGATCGAACTCGAGGCAGCATACGCCCCTCTTGAGATTGGTCTCCCACCTGAGGGCCATCGCTCGTAGATCGAACATCTTGACGTCGCCGTTGTCGAAACCGGCGACAACCGCGCGATCCTCGTTGTTGTGCGAATTGCCGAACGCTACAGCCCAGCAGTCCCTGCGGCTTTCACCCTCTGCAGGCTCCATCACCGCTACCGGACGGTCTTTCTGTCTCAGGTCCCATACCTGAGAATGCGTTCATTCGAAAACTATCGTTAAGATCTTTTGACCCAATTTGGTATTTAACGTAAAGGAGGGCAAGGTAGGGAACCTTGACGCTGCCGTCGCGAGAGCCCGTGAGGATCTCCGGGGCACCGCAGCCGATGGATTCGCCACCCACGCCGTCTATTGCATTGATGATCTCGTTGTGGGCGTCGGCACTGTACACCGGTACCGAGGCATCCTCCAAGTCAAAGGTGTTCAACTTTCCCTGGTGAATCAATTGATTGAACGTTAGAGATTGAAAAAAACAACAACAAACGGTACGGCTTGTGCAAAGTAGGGTTTGATCATGACATCATTTCACATGTATAAAGATAAAAAAAGTGTAAGTGCGCTATACAGCAGTTTGAAAAAATAGCGGGTGTGATAATAAGCACACCACCAGCTACTGGCGCGCGCTGCTTGTTTGATCGATGACACGTGCCGACGTGAGCGTCGTCTGTTATACCAATTTTATCACCATCACAACCCTCCATAAAAAAAGAGAAAAATAATAGATTCTTCATGTTCTTCCCCCATTAAAAAAAAACCACCTTAATTATATGTACTAACCTTAAAATCACCAGTGGCGAGGAAACGATTTCTCAAACTCGACGCCTTGAAAGTTCCGCATTTGAAGGAGTGCGGCCGTTCGATGTTCTTAATGAGGGTCACTCCTCCACTTGCCACCTCGTAAATCTGTATGAGACCAGTACCCCGAGGACGCGAGCCTAGAACCACGAATTTAGCGCTGCAGGGTATCCACTTGGTGTCAAAGACCGAGTAGTCCAGCGACTTCTCGATATGGCTGATTATTATCGGCTTGGCCAAGCGCTGTTCTGCCGTGCCGCTATTCTCCGTCATGTTTTTCTGTTTCCTGATGAAAATTCTGTGCACCTATCTTGTTGCTGTAACTATAACTTTGTTAACTAAGTAGACGCCAATGTAAAACTTTTTTTTTTGTAGTTCCACCGACAATGAGAGAAAAAAACGTGAATAATCGGTTTTAACAGCTTCGTTACGTTTGTTTTATTACGGTGTGCTGCAGATGATAAGTCGCGCACGGCTTTGCATGTGATCGTATCATCGTATCAGCTTCAGCTATGGCTAGTAAACGTAAACAGAGTAAACAAACGGCAGCGCCGTCTGCTGACTTCCGCAGAAACAGCAAAAACAAGCGAAGGTTGCAGGAACTTGAGAACGAATTAGATTTAAAAAACTAAATTTATTTATCATGGATCTTTTTACACGTCGCGTTTCATTATAAAATATAAATACTGATGGACAAAACACTTGTAAATAATTAAATAATTACATTACACTAGGAAATAGTGCTGTACATCAAATTGATTATAGTCGTCGTTACGTTTTACGTCATTTAGAAATTAAAAAAAAAAATTTGTAACTCATAGTTTTCTAATCTCCCTCTTCCATCTCTTCATCTTCGTTCCCTTCCTGTTCTATCTCGTCATTTCTATCGGTGTCGTCTTCGTTTTCTTTGTCCTCGAGATGGTTGTCTGGATTAGCTGTATTGTCACCCTGTAAAGTTTCGGATGGAGCTGTAACTTTTGCTCTGAATATATTAATGTAGTTGAGTAATCGTTTCTCTCCAGATGCATTCAACTGAAAAAATTTTTAAATCAGTAAAAACAGTGAATTGGTATTTACTCATAAATTGATGTATCAACAGTATTGATAAAATTAATCACCAGATTTTCAACGTCATCCAATGCTTTTAAGATATCGTTTTTTAAATTTTGACCATCTAATTGCACATCTAAACACTTTAGAGATTTTATAAGCACATCCAACTCGATTTCAGTTTCAGGATTCAGAATTTCACTTAATATTGTATATGTGAGCTGATTGTGGGTACTGTAGTTATTGTGAATATGGCAACACGTGAGCTTTATTATGATTTCACTAACTCGAAGTGCATCGATTTCTTGTAGTGGACTCATTTCTGGGGCATTAGCCAACATCTTCAGTGTTGGAAGGTATGCTTCTTCCAATATAGCCTGACTTTCTGGTATTCTACTGATGTAAAGATTAAAGAAACCGCATATGCATTGACTTAAGAATGGATTGTCTTTGGTGCTAGGATTGTGCCATAAAATCAATAATTGAGAAATCAATTGATGACTAACTATTTTTTTGTGTAAGATAAGTTTGCACAGGCCTTCTGCAGCAACAGATTGAAGATTCTGTACCTGCAATCCAAATAAAAGTAATAATATTTATACTTAAGATTAAACAACAAAAATTCATGATACATGAATTGACAGAACACTTTACCTGATTGTCTAATAAGGCAATTAAGGCTTTAATGACGTTATGACTACCATCTGCATGCATATTCTTGTCGTTAACATTAGTGTCTTCGTCATTGTGAGAATACAACCGGACGGATTTACTTTTTTTGCTAGTGTCTTGTATGTTATTTGTACCCTCTTGCGTGATTTCAAAATGTTCAAAACCGTACTTTAATAATAAGTCAAAAATCACTTCGGTAGCAGCTATCCATACATTTTCATCAGCCGACTCGGTAATGTAAAGAAAATACATCATAAGATATTTTTTGGCAAGATCTTTATCTACATGGCAGCACAGACCAACACACTCCAAAGCCAAGCTGAGGACTTTGATATGAGTATTTTGAAGCTGCAACAAAATTTACCATTAGCATTCAAGTGCGATCTATGAAATTTAATAAAAAGTACATACATTAATGTATGGTAGAGTAATGCTTTCCATCAACGTTCTCAATGTTGGTGATAGTACTACTATCGTCTTGGATTGCATCATAAAGTACATTATTTGTAAACACCGGATTATCGTCTCTGGATCATTTTTCTCTTCGCTAACAGCTTGTGACTCTGTGGGTAAACAGTCTCTGGGTTCAGGTTCTTCAGACATATCTAACGCAATAAGTTGTTCCTTTAAGACATCCATTTTTTGTTTAATTTGTTCNATATATATACACACGTATATTGGGTACGTTCGGGTGCAGTGCAGCAATTCCAAGTTTGACGTTTGTATGGGCGCACGCGTGTGGACTTTATGGGCTATGCTCGTTTTACGGATTTTGGCACCGAAGCACAGTGAGATGGTGATTGGGCGCCTCTGCAGTGTAGGAAATTAAAGATTGGAGTCAAATTTGACGGTGGACGTGAGACGGTGATTAAGTATTGTTTGGCAAAGAGGTTTAGCTGCTTATTGTTTATATGGTCGAGATGATTTAGTTAATTTTTTTTGTAAGAATATTTTGTGATTTTTGCTGGCTGGGCCAAAAAGTAATTATGCTTGTCAAACGTTGCCTACACCGATAAGATATGATATCGGTTTAGTGAATACAAACAGTTGGCCATAAGAATATGATGAATCACGAATCGTTTTTTCCCAATTTTGACGAATTTCGTAAAAAAAATATCCCACGTAGACCTAAACGTGGCGGAACTTGAGAAAGAAAACAATGATTAAGATGATTGGAGACAAATTGAGAGATAAGAAGGGAGATGAGTGGCTATATGAGCTATGTTTACAAACATGGAGTTTATCTACAGTTTAGTTTTGGTCTCTTACCAATGTTCGGTACAACTTACCAAAATTGCTTACAAAATTTAGCTCAACAGAGATTAGTTCTAATTGTGAATGTTATTATCACCATACTAATTGTTGTTAAAATAAGAGGAATTTGAAATATCTCACTGCAAAAAAAAACTAGTCTTGTACTAAAAATGTTACAGAAAAATTAAGCACACATATTAATTTCTTATTTGTAATGATTTAATTATGGTTAAAATGAAAATCATGAAAATACTAAGGTAAATGGAGTTAACATCATGAATTAAAAAAACGAAAACTATGATTTGAAAAAGGTGAATTGCCACTTTTTACGAAATGTTATTTTTGGCTATTGGTAATAATGCAAACACTCAGAAAAGTTCTTGCATTGATTAGAATAATTTCAACAGCTCCCATGCTTGACTCACGTTTACCTAAAATTAAAGAAAAATAAATTTTTGTATTTCTGACATTCTTCTTTGATGCTTTTCATACAACTCCAATGAAGTAAATTTTTATAAAACTATAAACTGTCTGAAGGTAGAAACGACTTTTTGGTGGTTACTTCCACGGTATAACGGTGGTTTGGATACAAGAGTTCATCCAAACCCATTACATTAAAACTTCAAACTTGGAGTTTCACTGTCTCACGAAATACTTAGGTTCACTAATATCTCTTTACTAACGTGCATTTTCCGGGATTGCCGAATTCATACCCAAAGTAATGAGTATGGTCAAATTTGTCCCCGGGTCATTAAATATTTCCTTACCTGTTACCGAATTCGTCCCCGAGTCGTTAAAATTTTTTCTTGACTTCTTTTCCGAATTCCTCCTTGTTTAATAGTATATTTCTTACCTAGGGCGGAAAGTACAACTTGCGCGCCCGAAGGGCGCGGTTGTTGTATGTTTCTGCCCGTGGTGAGAACGACATTTTTTGTATCGAGGGCGGAAAGTGCAACTTTCCGCCCGTGGGTACACTTTCCACCCGCCAATTACTTTCCGCCCTAGGGCGGGAACAAACTTTGGGCCCGTCAGGGCCATAATGTTTCTTCCCACCCGTGGGCGGAAAGTAATTGGCGGGCGGAAAGTGTGCCCTAGGACGGAAAGCACTCCGCCCGAGGGACGAAATAGTAGTTCTCCTACGAGTTTGAAAAGTCTCTATTTGCGGACCGAGAGGTTTGCGGCCCGAGCCGAAGGCGAGGGACGTAACGAGGTTCGTAAAAGAGACTTTTCGAACGAGTTCCGGAAAACTGCTTTTTCGCCCAAGGAAGTACCAGCCTCCCAAAACCACCCGAGTGCGGAAAATATGTTTTTTGTTATATTTAATCCACTGATAAAAATTTCAGCGATATATTTTTAACAAACTCAAAATAATCGATTTCCTCTCGCTGATATCTCAGCATTTTTTTTTGTAAAAATGTTTCTTTATTTTTGGTTTGTTTTGCTTGTCGGCCAACACTTCTCTCTTTAATGTATATTTTTGGTTGTATGTCTGTTATTACTTTTAAGAAAATAATGAGAGTTAGAGTAGGGGTATTGAATATACTATTGATGTAAGAGTGAAGTGACTCACAACCGTTTGTTGTTCTACGCACAGACGATGAACATTTTGCCTACATAATTGGAGGGTACGGCGAATCATTCATTATATAAAATTTATGCTATATTTAGTGCACAACAACAGGCAAATGCAAGTACCCAAATATTATGTCACAAATAATAGCAACATATTTTCACAATATTCAAGAGAAGAATCATTACCGTTTGTCAACAACGGTCTGATTCTTCCTGGGACGAATTTGGTAGAAGATAAGAAACACCTTATCGACTCGGGGACGATTTCGGATAGGCCCGCATTTTCATCATCTTGTATCGGTCAACCGAAAAGTATATTTTTATGTAAAGCTTTGACAACTGTATAGTGCATTAGGTCATTTGTCCAATCTTGTAGGACAATATTATATGGGGCAACACAAAAAATTATATATTTTTCACATTATCTGCTCGTTGAACGCTTTTATTGTGCGATCGGTAATACCATAATACGAAAGATAGTAGATTCTCCAAGAGCAAGTGTTGAGTAGACAGTAGACGTAAGTTAGATCGATATTGCCACTGCGCTGTGAAACCGCAGACTCGTCTACTAAATACTCGTGCGGTTGGTTTTTTCTTTTCAATGGCACGACATACACACGGTGTCTGGACGGTATAGGGATATTTACGCCTGTGACTTTTTTGCGAAAATTCGTCTCCATTTGTAACAATACGCTCGTTTTTCCTCTTTCTTTATTGGATGCGAAGATACGAAAGATGATTTTGTCACATGATAATCGTAAAAAGAGAAGAAACATTTTTTCCGGGTTGGGGTTGTTTTCCCTAAAAAACGAATTAGTTCCTTTTTAAAATAATAGTAAAGTTTTCTCCGCACTAAAGTGCCAAAGTTTACTGCAGTTTGCGAGGCACTTTGATAAACAAAAGTTTATACAATAAAAGTATTTTTTAATAATTGTTTAAACTTGAAACTTCATAAGGCTGTATTTAAAGATATTTTGTCTTAAACAAGTTTTCCATTCAAATTTCATGAATGCTTCACAAATTGGGAAATAAATTACATTTGTGAAAAATGCAAAAATTTTTATCGCATGGTAATATTTTTTCCCATACTAGGTTTGTCTCAAATTTTTCGTTAAAAGCTGCCATCGGTATGAGAAAAAGTTATACCCCAGTTACGAAATTATACCTCGTATGAGTTTTATTGTTATTTATTAAACTAACTATGGACTAAAAAGGTCTTGTCATAAATGCGTGTCAGTAAAAGAGAACAAAAATTTTGTTAATCAAATTTAAATTCAGCTTTTGAAATATCTCTTAGGTTTCAGTTTTCAAGCCTCAAAAGTAATGTGTTAAAATCGCCCAAAAATCGTCATTCTAATCTTAAATAATTTAATTCTTAACAGTAAATGCATAAGTATATTTTTCTATAGTTAAATTGACGTTCATTAAATTTTAATGTATTATAAATTTTAGTACATTAAAGAAATTTTATTTTATCAGCCAATTGCTGATGATTTTTTAATAATTTAAGTTATATCAGCTTTTTAATTGATGAACTAATGAAGTTGGAAAAAATTATCTTACGCTTTGCTTCTAGTCAACAGAATAATTAATACAACGTTCCTACCTGTTGTGAAACTTTGATAAAATTTAAAATTAAAATATTATAAATACATAAATCCAAAGTATTTTCGCCTATTTTTATATGGTTAAATTGTCAAATTGTTGCTTTTTAACCTGATAACAGTTAAATATCGTATCAATATGTAACTCTTCTATAATTTTTTACAAATTAAAAGAGAATTTTCCATGATTGTACAACTACATAGGTAATGATATTAATTTACTAGTCGATCGCTTTTGGAGTTGCACCACATCTGAAGCATACGCGCACTTGTTGTTTAAATAGAAACCTGATAATTATGTTTTGGTCAATAGTGCACACAAAATAATAAGATAACTCTTCGAGAACTCTCAAAAAATACGCATGAGGGTTTCTTCATTGTAATGACCAGTTTCAAGCAGTTTTTCAAGCACCATCGAGTCCTGCGTCATCAAAAGTGATAAGAATAAAACGTGCTTCGAGTACAATCACTACTGAACTTGTGTTAGACCAAGACCATGGCCAAATTAGTAACTTCTGTAGTTTATTATCTCAAAAACGGGATTGCTGTCACAAGGGGTAGATATAGATAAGTGGATCCTTTCATCAGTTCTATAATGAAAAAATGTCGTTCTACCTTTCCTAAAAGCTACTTTGGATGACGAGAATGCATTGTGCTAGCTAATTAAAAAAAAAAAAAACAAAAAAAACAACAGTAATGTGCTTTCGAAAAAACTACTGAATGAATTTTAAAATATGTTTGTATAGTAAAAGCTCAGCCGGGCAATATGTTTTTGTTGTGATGATGATCAAGTAAACGAAGCACAAAATTAAAGAGTTATGTACTTAACTACTGAAAACTGGAATTGCGTACGTATTTGATTATGAAGAAAAAATTTCCAAAATCAACCTAAATTCATGAAAAGTGGAGTGAATTTGGAAATAAAAATTGAAGTAAGTGATATATGTGATACAATACTTGCGACTTACACAGTTGTGTTCGACATCAGTTTTTCCTTGCTTTCTATGTATGGAAAAAATACCAATTAAAATTATTACATATCTAATCAGGGCAGCGATAAAAAAGGATCTCATCAGATAAGTATACTATCCACTTACTTAAACCTCATGATGAAGTCATCAAACCAGTTTGCACTGCAATTTCATGAAGAAATTTTCTGAGTTTTCTTGGGATTAACCCGAGAGCTGAAAGAATAAGTTTACTGCGCAT